ATGGAAACATTAATATATTTAAAAACATGTAGAAGAAAATTTTCAAATACCAAAAAAAAAGCTCAAAAGGCAAACAAAAAAAAAATTCCAAAGTTCCAACAACTATGAGGAAAAAAGGAGCTCGCCAAGACATAGTATAATGAAATAACCATATAGGAACAAAAGAACAGAATTTTAAAAGCAGTCAGAGAAAAACAAAGAGTCACAAACACAGGTAAACCCATTAGAATTACAGCAGACTTCTCAACACAAACCTTCAAGCCAAAAGAGCTCATAGAGAAGTATTTCAAGCCTTAGAAACAACTTCTATCCCAGATTAGCGTACCCAGCAAAACATTTCTTCAAAACAAATGCAGAAATAAGGACACTTCACGAAAAAGACCATCTCAAGAGATAATCAAGACTTTTGAACCAGCCTTCCAGAAAATACTCAAGAATAGCCAAGACAGAAACAATAACCACAATAATGCCAAAAACTCAGTGAGAATGAAAACACCAAGTAATGTCAATGAACCAACAACAATTGATAGGAAAGGTCAAGGGCAGCAATTTTAATCTTGGACAATGTAAATTGCAAGCTCAAACTGATCAGAAAGGACAAAGAGGGTCAGTAGTTAAAGAAACGATCTAACAAGAAGAGATAATACTTATGAATATGGACCAAATGCTGGAGCATCTGTCTTCATAAAAAAAATACTGCTGAACAGAAATTTCAGATGAACACTAACACAGTCACAGTGGGAGATATTAATAGCTCACTTTCCCACAGAGGTCCAGTAAACAAAAAGTCAATAAAGAAGTATCAGAACTGAGCTGCACACTTGAACATATGAACGGAACAGAAGACTCTAACCCACTATATCAGAGTATATATTATTTTCTGCACAGCACAATGCTTTCTCCAAAATAGATTCATAAAGCCTACGTAAATAGATATTTAAAAAATCAAAATCAGTGCATGTTTACTATCAGATGACTGTGCACTAAAATTAGAAATCAAGCCAGGTGCAGTGGGGTGTTCCTGTAATCCCAGCACTCAGGAGGCTGCGGCAGGAGGATTGCCAAGAGTTTGAGGCCAGTCTGGGCTACAAAGTGAGTTCAAGGCCAGTTTGAGCCATATAGTGAAACCCTACTTCAAAAAAGACAAAAGAAGAAGAAGAAGAAGAAGAAGAAGAAGAAGAAGAAGAAGAAGAAGAAGAAGAAGAAGAAGAAGAAGAACAAGAAGAAGAAGAAGAAGAAGAAGAAGAAGAAGAAGAAGAAGAACAAGAACAAGAAGAAGAAGAAGAAGAAGAAGAAGAAGAAGAAGAAGAAGAAGAAGAAGAAGAAGAAGAAAGGAAAATAGAAAGAAACTTTTAAAAAGGAAAGTAATCAACCCAAAAGAAAGTAGAGGTACAAAGAAGAGGTACAAAGAAGTAGAGGTACTTGGAAACTCAATAACGCATTCTTGAACATTCAGTGGATCACAAAAATTGAACAATTTCTGTAAGTGGGTAACATTGCCTTTATAACACACTGGAACCTATAGGACACACAACAGTACTATCAGAGAAGTTTGCTGCAATCAGTGCTCACATTAGGAAAACAGAGAGAGCTCAAAGAAATAAGGTACTGAAGAATCTTAAAATTCTCGGGAAACAACAACAATCCAGGCCCAAATTGAAATTAAGGAGGGAAATCATAAAGATTAGAGCAGAAATCACTGAAATTGAGACTAAAGAATCAATGAAATGAAGAGTTGATTCATTGAAGAAAACCAAGGAAATGCATAAACTTTATCCATGTTTACCTGTGAAGAGTGAAAAGAGAGAGTGAAAAGACTCACATCAACACAATTAGAGATGAAAAAATGTTTAAATCATCATGGACACTGTCACAATCCAGAGGGCAGTAATACCATGAAAAATTATATTCAAACAAGCTGGAAAATCTTGAAGAAAGGAACAGATTCCTAGACTCACTCAAATTACCAAAGGTAACCAAAAAGACACAAAAATGCCGAAGAACTCAATATGAGCAATAAAATTGAGGCAATAAATTATTGCCTCAAAAAACCTAACAACCAACAAAAGCTCAGTACCTGAAGTATTTAATGCTGAATTCTACAAAACTTTTGGTGATGTTATATCACCAGTATTCTTCAAACTTGTCGATGAAATTAAAAGTGACGGAGTGCTTCTGAACTCATTTATGGAAGCCAGCATCACTCTGATCTCTAAACCAGGTACAGACCCAACTGAAAAAAACTACATGACAATCTCCTTAATGAACATATATGCGAAAATCCAGAATAAGGTATTAGTGAATAGAATGCAACATGTCATCAAAAACATATCTCATGACCAAGTATGTTTGCTCTCACAGTTTGCAAGGTTGGTTCAACAAATATCAGTCAATAAATGTAATACAGTACATAAACAAAAACAAGGACACAAATCACATGAACATAAGAATAAATGCAGAAAAGCCTTTTGACAAGATCCAACGCCCCTCCGTGATGGGTGCAGAAATAAGGTATAGAATAGCCATACCTGAATTTGACAAAAGCTTTTTATGACAAATCAATGGCCAATCTCGTATTAAATAGGAAAAATTAAAGCATTTCCTCTAAAATCAGGAACAAGACAAGGATGCTCACTATCCCATTTCTATTCAACATAGTACTCGAAACATTAGCCAGACCGATGAGGAAAGAGAAATAAAAGTGATACAAATAGGAAAGAAAAAACTCAAATTGTCATTGTTTGCAGATGAAAGGATACTCTACGTAGAAGACCCAAAAAATTACACTGAAGAATTCTTAGAGTTAATACTGCAACAAATTTGAGCAATGTAGCATGACACAAGATCAATACCTAAGAATCAATATTATTTGTGCCCACCAACCATTAACTCATTGAGAAAAAGTTATAAAAATCATACCATTCACAGTGGGAACACGAAAAATTAAGTACCGAGGAATGAACCTAACTAAGGACATAAAAGACCTCTACAAAGAGAATTATGGTACTCTGAAAAAGGACAATGAAGGGGACATCAGAAAATTGAGCCAGGCATGGTGGTGCTCCTGGAACACTGGAGGCTGAGGTAGAAGGATTTCTATGAATTCAAAGACAGCCTGCACTACATAGTGAGCTCAAGACCAGATTGAACTACATAGTGAGACCCTGTCTCAAAACCACATGCAACAAGAAATACAAACAGGAAGAACGAGAAAAGGAGGGAAGGAAGGAAGGAAGGAGGGAGGGCTAGAGGGAGGGAAGGAAGGAAGGCAATAAGGAAGGAAAGAAAGAAAAGAAAGAAAGAAAAGAAAGAGAGAAAAAGAAAGATGGAATATGTCCCTTGACTTTGAGTAGGCAGAATTAATATTGTCAAAACAGACATACTCTCAAAACTGCAATACAGATTCAATGCATAGTGAGCTCAAGGCCACACTGAAATAATGAGCATTACAGATTCATATGGAACCAGAAGAAACACAGAATAGCAAAAGCAATATTGGACAATAAGAGTAAAGCAGGAGGCTTTGCAATACCTGACTTCAAACATAAAATGGCACGGTACTGGCACAAAAACAGTCATATAGATAAACGCAACAGAATAGAAGATACAAAGTCATTCCCAGACACATTCAGCTATTTTATCTTTGACAAAGCAGCCAAAAGCTTGCATTAGAGAAAAGGTAGTCTGTTCAACAAATACAAAGAGCGCTACACCCATATCTCTCACCATATACTAAATAAAATCAAAATGGATCAGAGGTCTAAAGAGTAAAACAGAAGCACTGAACCTATTGGTTGACAAAATACGTAAGACACTTGAAGTCACAAATGCAGGCGAGGACATTTGAAATAACAGTATGGATCAATAAATGGGATTACATCAAATAAAAATTTGCAAACTATTCATCAGACAGAAGACTGGAATCTAGAACATACAAAGTACTCAGAAAATTAAAATAAAAGTCCTAATCAAGAAATGAGGAAGTGAAATGAATACCCATCTCTCAGAAATAGTACAATTGGCCAGCAAACATGTGAAAAAATGTTCAACATCTCTGACCATTAGAGAAATGCAAATGAAAACAACATTAAGATTCCATCTTACACCAGAAAGAATGGCAGTCATCAAGAATTCAAATAACAAATGCTAGCATGGGTGCACTGATAAAGGAACCCCCCTCTCTCATTTTTGGTGGGAATGTAAGCTAGTCCAGTGAGTATGGAAATCAATATGGAGATTTCTAAAAAAACTGAAATTAGAAGTTCCCCATGTCTCAGCTATTCCCTTCTAGATGTCTTCCTACAAGAGGTAAAGGCATCATGTTAGAGTGATGCATGCATACCAGTGTTTATGACAGTATAGCTCATAGTAGATAAACCCTGGAAACAGCCTGTATACTCATCACCAGATGAAAATATAAAGAAAACATGGTATCTATACATAGTAGAACACAATATAAAGAAACAGTATTGAAGGATACCATAAAGAAGGGTAAACGGGGTATTTGTGGGGAAATGGATACAACTGAGAAATATAATGTTCAGTAAAATCAGACACAAGCTTAAATGTTGCATGGTATCTCTCCTTTCAATCAGGCAAAGTACAAGCAAACAGCAGAATAAAGGACAGAAGGAAACAAGAGGAGAGATCGCTTGCAAATGGGAAGGGTTTCAGAGACCAAGGGAGAGCGGGAGGGAAAGAGGGAGTAAAAATTAAGAGATACTATATATGGGAACCCAATAAGCAGTAAATGCCACAATTATATGGCATAAACATGAGCCAAATATAATAATAATAAAAATTATAATAATACAAAAATGAAAATGGGGAAAGGGAATTTAGAGGTAGAAGAAGGGAGGAGGGTGAGGAGATTAAAAATAGAAACAAGCTGTGTTATGTACACATACCTACAACTCCCCAAGAAGAATGTTAACTATGTATTTCAAACACATACAAACACATAAAGAAAGAAATAAAAATAAAGGGTGAATAACATGCTATAGGGTGTATAATTAAATGTGGTTTATTCAGTTCCTCATTAAGGTGTACATGGATTATTTATACATTTTGGCTCTTGAGAATAATGTTATGTGTGAGTGTATAAATATCACTTTAATTCTCTGCTTTGAAATTTTCGTTATGTATCCAGAAGTACAAAGACATGTTGTATGCTAATTTGATGTTTCATATACTTTTCTTTTTTAATTTTAAAATGAAAAGAAGAAGAAGGAGGAGAAGGAGGAGAAGGGGAAGGGGAAGGAGCAGAAGGGGAAGAAGAGGATGAAATGATAGAGACAAAGATACCGAATTTCAAAACAGAATAATAGGGTATTAACATTGGTTAATACACTGCTCATTGTTGTCTTCAAAGTAGTTGTTTAGAAGATTAGAAGATATATTCCTGATAAATGATCAATGAATGAAAGCACAAGTTATTCCTTTTTATGTATATAATCTTTTCTATTCTTTCTTTTCTCATTTCCCTCAATGCAATTGTTCCTTCACTTTAAGCCATTTCTTTCCCTTCTCTTTTCACAATATCTATTGAACATTTTGGTTCTCACTAACTCCTTCTGTTTTTCATACTAGAGTCACAATAGGATGTTCACCCATGTGAGTCCAAACTATTTCACCATTGAGCATGATCTCAAGTTGCATCCATTTACCTACAAGAGCTTCAAGATTATCCCTCTTTATAGTTGAGTAGGTTTCCATTGTATAAAGATGCCCCATCTTTATTATACATTCTGTGGGTGATGGGAAAGCTATCCCTGGTTTTTCTAGTTTTCTGTCACATGGAGCACTGTTTTCTGCCTTTGACTTTCGCTCTATGAATTTCCTTTTGAATTAAATGTGGTTTTGTACACCGCATATTGATGGATCTTGTTTCTTGATCCACTCTTCCTGTGCTTCTTTTTATTGGTGAATCGAGGCCATCCATCTACATTAATGATTACAACCGGGCCATACATTGGCTTGTCTGCCATGCTAGTCTTCTGCTGTTCCCCCCCCCCCAACCACCACCTTTCCCTTTTGTTCAATTGCCTGCCTTGTTTAGCAATTCCCATCTGCTGCTGTTCCTGGAGAACCGTGGTCATCTTTATCTCTCTCTAGAGTATTCTTCAGTGCTCTTTCTAGGATTGGATTGGTTATCATGAATTCTTTTGTTTTTCTTTGTCGTGGGAGTATCTTGTTTCTCCATTAATTGTGATAGTTTTGCAGGGTGCATCAATCTGGGTTGGAAATTGTTTCCTTCAGGATTTGAAATGCTTCATTCCAAGTTCCTTTTGAAAGCAGTTATGACTAAACAAAACAGAAAATTTGTATAAATGATACATACGTTCAGAGAAAAAAAAACAGTAAGAAATCACTAGCTGATGTTTACATATTGTCGTTTTACAAATAGTTGTTCAAGATCCAAAAATGGAACTTGTAAAGTGGGAATTCAAACAGCGAGACCACAAACAGTTCTGTTGAGCTATCCAACAAAAACTTAGTAACATGGTTGTCAATCCTATACACTTAAACACACATGCAGTTATCCATAGCTTCATTTATATTCCAAGCTCTTTTTGACATGAGGGGTTTGTGTTGAGAAGTCTGCTATGATTCTAATGAGTTTTCCTTCATAGATGATGTTTCATTTCTCTATTAAATTTTAATATTTTGTTCTTGTGCTGAATTTCTGGGATATTGATTATTATACATCTAAGTGTACATTTATTTATTTTTATAACTAGTTGTGATATGATATGCCTCACTTAACTGTGTATGAGGTCCTTTTTCCATGCTTGGGAAGTTTTCTGCTGTTAGTTCTGTAGTCTTTTTATTTCATTTGTTTTGACCCCCTGCTTTTTTTGCTGGCACAAATGAGTCTTACGTTTTTCTTTGTGTCATCTGGCAGCCATTGAATTGTTATTTCCTAGCTCTTTACTATTTTTTCTTTTTGTTCCTTGTTATTTTTAAGCGATCTTTCTTTTTTTTTTTTTTTTAAATTTTTTTTTTGTCTTTTTCCTTTCTATCGGTACCAGAGATTGAACTCACGACTACCTGCTTACAAGGCAGGCTCTTATGCCGCTGAGCTAAACCCCCAGCCCCAGATCTTTCTTTTTTTTTGATCACTAGATGCAAACCTGTCTTCAAAGTCCAAGAGTCTATCTTCAGTCTCTTTCAAGCAGTCTTGCCAACTTTCGATGGAGTTTTTAATTTCCCGGATATCTCTTTGACTCTGTTTCATGCTTTCCAATTCTTCCCTATATTGCTCATTTAAGGTTTCTGTCATTTTTCTATGCTCCTATATTTTATGTATGTCTTTTTTAAGATACGTTCAGCAGCTCTTTTGTTATGTTTGTCATTTCTTCTTTTACCTGAGATATTATTTCTGATCTGATTACCTTTTACAGCCTCATGGAGCTGTTTCTTTACTTCAGTTGCTATCATTTCAGAAATGTCAGTAGTGTAATTTCCATTTTTTTTCTATGTCTCTTGGTCTTGTTCTGTGTGATCTGCAGGTCTGAAATTGCATTTTGCTCCTTTGTCTTGACATTTTTCTAGGTTCCTCTGGACAAGTGAGTTGCGGGGTCGCAGATGCTTTGTGCACTGGCTGCCCATCCACAGTGTAAGAGAAGGGGCCTGGCACCTGGGTTTTTCCAAATATAGGTTCCTGGGGAGGTGCTGAGGTACGGGGCATCCTTCTCAGAACCCACATGGTACAGTGAGAGTCTCCTAATGGTGGCTGGAAGGCATGTGGGGACATGGCTGTCTGCTTAACCCAACCCACACTCACTTACTAGCAGAAAGTTCCCTCCAGTGTCCTGATGTTTAATTTTCTAAGAAACCAATACACTGTTTTCTATAGTGGCTGCAACACTTACATTTCTACAATCGATGTGTAAGTGTTACAATTTGTCCACATCCTTATAAACACTTGTTTTATTTTTCTTTCATACTTTTTAAATGTTTTTCAGTCTTTTTAAGACAGGATCCCAATATGCTGGCCTTGAACTTAATTTGTGTCCAAGGCTAATCTCAAACTTGCAACAATCCTCCTGCCTCAGGCTCAACATTTCATTTTTAAATTAACAAAAATTTCATATATGTATTGTGTATTTATTGTTTCACAATATATAAAATATATAATGTGAAATGGGTAAATTCATATAGTTAACATATATATTAATTATCATACCTATGTTTGGTTGTAAGCACACTTAAAATGAACTCCATTAGCGCCTTTCCAAAGTATAATATATTGTTATTGTAGCCATGTCATACAATAGGTTTTTTTCAACTAATTTCTTCAATATAAATTTAATTTTGTATATTTTGCCCAGCGCTTCATTAAATTCTCCATTATTTTTTGAAAAATACTATTGTGCTATATGCCCATCAGTTTAATTTTTCAAAATTCTGTATATAATTGACATTTTTTAGTATTTGTCTTTCTCTGTCTGGCTAATTTGATTTAATGTAATATCCTTTGGGTTTATCCCTGGTTTTGCAAGTGACAAGAGTTTTTCTTTAAGAGAAAAAAAAGACTCATACTTTCAAAACAGGTTAATAGGAGTGTAACAATAATAAATTTAATGCATATTGTTACCTTCATAGTTGTTACTCTGAGTATAAAATATAGGCATAAATATCTCCCAAATAAGTATTAGTATAATTATTATTTTTTTTTTTTTTGCTGAACTAAGAGATTGCATTAGTGGTCATAAATTCCTTGTTCTTCTTTGTCATAGGAGCATCTTGTTTCTCCATTAATTGTGAAAGATAGTTTGGCAGGGTACATCAATCTGGGTTGGAAATTGTGTGTGTGTGTGTGTGTGTGTGTGTGTATTTCCTTTCCTTCCTTCCTTTCTCTTTAGTCTGATCATCTATTCAGAGGATAATAATATGCAAAGTAGTATATATGGGGGATCTCCTTCTGAAGGTGGTAGCCATTGTTAATTCCCTGTTATCTTGCTTTGAAACCCTGTATCATTCTCATGGTTTTGTTTGGCTGTGTTTTATTCGATTTTATCTTGTTTGATTTTGTTATACATGATACCATGGGCAGCTATTTCAAACATTACAAGATATACTATGGTAACTATTTTGAATTTACTATTATCTTGTATTGAAGTCCTGTATTTTACTCATTGTTTTGTTTTTATTGGCTCAATTCTACTCTGTTTTGTTTGATTTTACTATGTCTGAAGGTATGGGCAGCTGTTTTGAAGACAACAAAGGGCATTATGGTTGATTGGTTGATTTCCTATTATCTTGTTTTGAAATCATATGTCATTACATTGTCTTGTTTTGATTGGCATTATTCTGTTTTATTTTGCTTGGTTTTATTCTTTCTAAAATAAAACTTTAAAAACATATCTTTTTAATCTTTTCATTGGTTGATAGGAATTTGGGTTATATAAGATTTAGCTATTACAAACAGTGCTGCTATAACTATGGGTACACATATATCACTGTGGTATGATGCTTTAATTTCTTCTGGGAAGATACTCAGACAGGGAATGTCTGGATCAAGTGGGATCACTAATCTTATTTTTAAAAGACACTGCATAGATTTACACAGTGGTTGTACTGTGGAACCTATACTCCCACCAAAAGTGAAAAGTGTTTTTTTCCCCCACATCCCCCCCAGCATTAACAAATTAGTTGTTTTCTTGATAATATTCTTTCTGAAGTGAGACAGAAACTCAACATTGATTTAATATGATTTTCTTGAATAACCAATGATGTTGAAAATTTTTACATGTACTTTTTTGCCATTTGTATTTTGTCTTCTGAGAAATATGTATTTATCTCAGATGCCTATTTTTCGATTGGATATTTGAACTTGGGGAAGGAAGTCTAGATTTAATGACCAGATTCAGTAAAGTAGCTCAATCCAAAGTTGGTACTCAAAAATCAATAGCATTCCTGTACATAAATAACAAACTCATTGAGAGAGAAACTAGGGAAACAATAGCATCTAAAAGTGAAATACTTAGGAGTCAATCTAACAAAATAAAAGATTTCTACATTGAAAACTACAGTACCAAAGAGGACACATTGAAAACATAGACGAAAGAGTATTTCAGAAAATGGGAAGATATCCCATGCTCTTATGTAGGAAAAAACCAATATAGTGGAAATGGACATGCTTCCAATATTTTTATACATATTTAATTCAATCCCAATCAAAATACCATTTGCATGCATCACAGAACTAGAGGAAATATTCCTAAAACTCATTTGCAACCACAAAAGATCTAGACCAATAAAAGCAATTCTGGGCAACAAAGACAAGGCAGGAAGCACAACAATTCCTGACTTGAAATTGTACTACAAAGCTGTAGTGATAATACCAGAATCATACTGGCAAAAAAAAACACACCTTGAGAATAATTGAAACAGCTTAGATGATATAAAAATAACTCCAAACTCACTCAGTCACCTGATCTTTGATAACGGTTCCAAACACATTCACTGGAAAAAGGAATGCCTCTTTTAAAATGGTACTACAAAAACTGGCTTTCCCCATGACAGAGACTAAAACTAAACCCATGTTTGTCTCCATGCCTTAAACTAAAATCAAAATGGATCACAGATCTAAATATTAAAACAGAAACACTATTTACTGTAAGATAGAATCGGTAAAACTCACAAAAGTGTAGGCAAAGACATTATGAAACCCAATTGCACAGGAAATCACAAAGCATCAATAACTGAGATCTCATCTTATTAAAATTTTTGCCCATCAAAAGAAATCTCCAACACAGTGAAAGTCAATCAATAGAGTGGGAAGCAATTTATGTCAAATGTTTTTCAAACAAAGGACTACTATCCAGAATATATAAAGAAATGGAAGAGTTTGGAAGGGTTTAAAGATCCTGACTGAAGAAGCAAACCTGGGATGTTATAAGCCAAGTTTCAAGTGATAAAAACCAGAATGTTAATAGAAATGCGGCTGGTGACTGTGATAATGTCAGCATGGTACTGGCATAAAAACAGACCTGAAGATCAATGTAATACATTAGAAGGTACAGCCACAGCTACAAACACACTCAGCCTCCTTATCTTTTACAAAGGGGAAAAACATGTTCCCTGGAAGAAAGATAGCCTCTTTAATAAGTAGCACTGGAAAAACTGACTCTCCATATGCTGAAGAATAAAACTAGACCCATCATGCACTAAACTAAAATTGAAATAGATCAAAGATTTAAATATTAAAACAGAAAAACTAACTCTGCTGGAAGACAAAGTAGGTGGAAATCTTGAAGACAAAGGGTAAGCAGAGAACTCATAAACAAAAATCAAACTGCATGGGAAATACTTCCAAGAATCAGCAACTTGGATCTTGTCTTATTAAAAAGTTTTTGCATGTTAAAAGAAATCTCCAACAGAGTGAAAATAAAACTCACGAATTGGGGAAAAAAATCTTACTCAACTGTCTCTCAAAGGACTTCCTTCCAGAACGTATAAAGAATTTTAAAAAATCAGACCTCCAAAATTCAATGACCCAATCCAAAAATGGGCATCTGAGATGAATCCATAGTTCTCAGATGAAGAAATACAAATGGAAAATAAATACGTGAAAAAAATGTTCATCATCATTAGTCATTAGAGAAATGCAAATTAAAACCACATTGAGATTCCATCTCACTACAGAAAGAATGGCCAGGATCAAGAAAACTACCAACAACAAATGCTGCAGAGGCTGTTGGGAAAAAGGAACTCTCCTACACGGTTGGTGGGAGTGTAGACTAGTGCAACCATTGTGGAGTTCAGTCTGGAGATTCCTCAAAAGCTAGGATTGGAAGTGTGATTTGACCCAGATATTCCACTTCTGGGTATTTTCCCAGAAGAATTGAAAACATCAAACCACAGTGATATAGGTGCACTCATATTAATAGCAGCACAAATTGGTAATGGCTAAATCTTGGAAACAAGCCAAAAGCTCATCAACTGAGGTATGGATTAAAAAACATGAGGCATTTTTATACTATGGAGAACTACTCAGCTATAAAGAAGAATCATTCAAGGCTTTTGCAGGTAAGTGAATACAACTTGAGACCATACTCATAAGTGAAATAAATCAGACTCACATGTGTAAATATCATATTGTCTCCCTAGTATAGAAAATGAAAGAGTAAATAAGATCTAAAATCTACAATAAATATTGTATAATCATAAGAAACTGCTCCAAGTAGAAAAGCAATTACAATAGGGAAAAGGAGAAAAGAAAGAAGGGAAAGTAAAATGATATAAATTTGGGTATATATACATAAGATAGCTAAAATGATTACACTACTAATTCTATTATGTCTTGGAAAAATAGTTATATGATTAGATCAATTTTGCATGTCTGTATCTGGTAATCAAAGCAACTGTTTTGAAGAAAACAATATGCAGTATAACAACCATTGTTGTTCCTATCACCTTGTTTTGAAAGCCTATATTATTATTGTTTTGGGTTTTTGTTGTTGTTGCTTGTTTGTCTCTTTCGACTTTTGTTTTTCTTGTCTGTGTTTTTCCTCCTCTTTAAAATAAAAAAGAAAGAAATGCAGCAGATAAAGACCAGATTCATGAGGTATCTGTTGAGAAGAAGGACTACATTGGCAGTTGGACTCAAGACAGTGTGTGTTATGTTTTGGCAGAGAAACTTTCATCATTTTGCTCATGTCCAAAGATATTGGTGGTTGACTGGGATTAAGGGCTGTGGACTAGTTAATCTTGCAGAAGTAATTTCAAAGCACTCTAATGCTTGAGTGCTGGCATGGCTACTGTTGGAAGCTTTTAGCCAGTGGCTGTTCCTTGAGAATCAAAAGCAAAGATTCCAGAAGAATGATTTAAAATGCTGTGAGTTTGGTCATAAAAGAATCTCCAATAATGTTACAACTTCCAAAGATTGACCAGAAAAGAACTAAATTGCAGAAAAGTAACAGGGTGATAGAAAAGATGGCTTAAGGACATCACAGAAACCAGAAGGACTGCACTCTTTATAGCCTTATATCTACAAAGGCAAAAAACCTTGCTTTGAGAAGACAGCCCCAGAGCACCATGCTCCAAAATTCAGTGACTTAGAGAATTTGTTTTCCTGGGTTTGATTCAGAGTGCTCAGCAATAAAGGCACTCGATTCCCACATCCAAAAGGGGAGGAAACCTGGATACTGTTCCAGCTGGCAGCAGACTTTGGCATCATCCACCTGGTGCTGGCTTTATGTACATGCATAGTACAAGGATTGTGAACTCAGGAAGTCTTCCACCCAGATTTTGGAAGATCTGGGAGGCCAGGTTGTCTACCCCTGAAAGGGTAGTTTGTGAAGCTGTGAGCATGAAGCCAAAGGCATAGTGGAGCCTCTGGAAAGTTGGAGGAATCAGGAATGTGAGTCATCTGAATTTTTTGAAATATTGAAAGTGTTTGGAATTTGGCAAATCTTAGAGTTGGACAAAATGCACTTTGCATAAAGGGATGTGTAAGAGTTTTTGTGGACCAGGGGTGGAATGTTATGATTTGTAATTAAATATTTTTCTCAAATGTCATGTTGTCATAGGTAGGGCTTTTCAGTGGTGGCTGGATCTAAGGTGTGTGAGTATTAATTAAGAGTATATGATAAATTCATTCTCTGATTGGTTTTGTGTGTGAATAATGGGGAGCCCCACCCTGGATGTGGGTAGCACCAACCAATATGCTTATAGCTTAAATGGAATAAAAATGAAAGGAAGGCTCACTTCTTCCTCCTTCTTGCCTGTCTTTCTCTAAACTATTTCTCCTAAGCCACATCCCTCTGCAAGATTGCCCTTCCCCGGAACCAGCCAACTATAGACTGAAATCACTACAAACTATATGTTAAAATAAATCTTTACTCTTTCAACTTGTGAGTGTTGGGTCTTGTATCTCAGTGATGAGAAAAGTAACTATAACACAGGCCATAATTAAAAAAAATATTGGCTTTACAATAAAAGGAAATGGGAAACTGTCTTGCTTAGTTTCCTCATCACTGGGACACACTATCTGAAACCCACAACTGTAGAGAGAGATTTTTTTACTCATGTTTCAGAAGTTTCTGTTTGTGTTTCCCAGGCTTAAAAACAGAAATGGTATGATGGAAGAGCCTGCCATGGGGGAAATCTGCTCATGTCATGGTGACCAAGAAGTAGAGAGAGAAGAGAGGAGCAGGGAAGGGAGATATATCCCTTAGGGTCATTCCCCAAGCAACATGACTCTTCAGACCATATTCTGCTGTTAGAAGTAACAGCAAGACAGCTTTCACCCCCATGAGTCAATCACCTTTCAAAATCCCTGTCAATGAGCACACAAGGTGCTTGTGAGTATACCTAAATAAAAGTTATAAAAGAAGATATTATTAAGTTGTATTTTATCAGTGTAGTGTGATGATCAGATTTGTGCTTCATAAAGTTTGCTGTGGTTTCAGGGTCAATGATCAGTGGTAAGCAGATCAGATAGAATGCTGCTGAGTGGTCCAATGGGGACTAAACTAATGCACTGTCAATGGGGCTTCTAAGAAGGTGACGGACATGGTGGGTGTCAGATGTGAAGGCTTTTGTGAGGGTGTATGTAGTGAAGCTAAGGATGACTCTCATTCTGGTTCATGGCTTGAGACTGGCTTGTGTTTGTACCATTCACTAAATTAGAAAACAGGAAATCTAGCTTTGAGACAATTAAGCCAGGATTTCAGGTTGACCCCTAAGTGAATGTTTTATGTGAGAAAGGAGAGACTATCCAAGTGAATGCATGTGCTGGTGTGCTCCTTAAAGTTATATAAAGTCAGTGATATCTGAGTAAACATGTGGCAGTTATAATAGTGGGTGTGCAGTTCAAACACCAGCTTATGACATCTAAGAGAAACTATTAAAATATTCATTATTAGATCTCATATTGGGTCTTTAAGTTGTCTCAAAATCTTTTTTTGCCATTAAACAGTTGCCTTACATATTCATTCAGATGTCAGAGTAATACTTTTATCTGTTACATGCAAATTCAGATGTAAAACTTATTCACTTCTACTTTAGCTCAGTGATGGAGAAAGCTGGAAAGTACATTGTTCATAACATTACAGCAAGAGAAAATGAAAGACTGAAGGTTAACAAATTTTCTTAAATTCATCACAAAACAAATTTCAGAGCAATATGTCAACTCAAAATTTGTAAAGAGACAGGCGCTTATAGGGAGAAACAGTACCTCAGTATTTGCTTTGTTGAGCCACGTCACCAAATTTTATATTAGGAGATAGGAAAATTAAAATGAAAAATGTGAATAAATTGTTAAAAACCCAGGGTAAACAATCCCACTAGTGTGAAACATCTGGAGACTATAGGCAAGGGATATTGCCATATTCTTGATAAGAGTTTCCCAAGGAAACTCATAAATATCTTAAAGGGAAGAATAGCAAATAACACTCCTTGCTTCAGTCTGCGAAAAGGGAACAAACAACAACTACCACATACACCCAGATCTACCAGATCTACCTTGCAATTATAAAACAAAAAAACTAACCTTCAAGAAGAATTCATCAAAACATTTCTCCTGAGTGCACTGATGCAGTACCATTGCAAGTAGGGAGGGGAACAGACTTCACCAAAAATGCTCAGATCCATCTCCTTATCTCTCCTAAGTAATAAAGCTAAGAGAATGAGAGGTTATCATGGTAATAATTATCACTCTGGGGAGCAGCAGATAAAATAAGAGACAGAGGTAGTACTAGAGGAATATTAAAGTTCTGGTATCCATAGCAACAGCAAAAAATTCTCCTCTGGTAACCAAAGCAACAGTAATCTTCAGTGCTGGTAACCATAGCAACAACAGGATTCAATTGGGGTCGCAAACCTCATTGTGTTAACATAAAGCTCCACAGTAAAGGCCTAGAAGGAAAGCCTGGCTCATATCCAAGCATAACAAATATTATGAAATTTAAAGACAAATACACAATGGCCTTAACATTTTATTATCTGGGAGAGAAGGTGTTGAATTACATATGAAAATTAAAATGAAAATTTCAGTAAAGCACTAAACCAAAATACAGGCTCCAAATACAATCAGAGTGTGAATTTCTGTATAACATAACCATAGAAGGGGATCCCAATCTTTTGCAGCTTTTGAAGGAATTCCATCAACCATTCAAAGTGAGGGTAAAGGAAAAAATGGAGAAATCACCTCTTAAACAGTAAGGCACTACAAAATCTACCAACCCTTTTTATCTTATTACTGTAGCTTGTGTGCTAAATATCTCCCAAGGACCCATACATTGAAAGTTTATCTTTTATCAACTTGATACCATTGGGAGATAGTGGAATCTTTAAAGAGATGAGGACTAACGGCAGATTTTAGGTGATCTAGTACATGTGGCTCTTATTCTTTTTCACATCTGGGTCACAAGGGGTTCTCCTCTGCTCCACCATATACTGTGTTTTATGGTGTGCTAGTCACCTTGCCACAGGCCCAAAAGTAACAGGGTTGACTCTCCATAGACTGAAACCTTTACTCTTTTAAAATTACTTCAGGTATTCAGTGTGGTAAGGGAAATTAGCATAATATACTCATAGAAGAAAATTCCTAATTAACATCCTGCAGAATATCACTGAGGATATTAATTAATACCAATGCAGTTGGAGGAATGAAAGTTTGCTAAGATCCAGGTCCATAAACTCACCTAGGAAAAATTAAATAAAAAACTATTAATTTTTTGAAGGAAACTCTTCAAGCTATAGATAGAGAATATTAATGAATATTTGCTTTGTTAATTAAATGAAGAGGATGAAAGCTCTAGGTTTCTAGAAGTGACAGAAACTTTTGGGGCTGGGGGTTTAGCTCAGCAGCATAAGCGACTCCCTTGCAAGCGTGTGGTTGTGAGTTTGATCCCTGGTACTGGTAAAAAAAAAAAAAAAAAAAAAAAAAAAAAAAAAAAAAAAAAAAAAAAAAAGAAACTTTTATAAAGTCCACATCCTTAGGATACAGGCCTACTTCTGTGTATTCTAAAGTGACCCTAATTGGTTCTTTTTAAAGTAAACTAATTCCATGACAATGAACCTGTTCTCATGATTATAGCATTAAAGTCACATGATTTAACCACCTCTTTACAGGTACCACCACTCAACATTATTACACTGGGAATTTAGCTCTCGCACACTAACTTTGGAGAACATATCCAAAATGTAGCAATAATAATATATTATATTGTCAAAATTGCTAACAGAGTAGATTTTAAATGTTTAATGTCACACATACACAAAAAAGGAGAGCATGTGAAGTAATATATATTAGGTCAGTTTAGCCATTTCACAAAGCATACATATTTCAGTAACATTTCAGAACATGTTATATGTTTTTATTTATCCATTTAAAATGAATAATGTTTCTAAAAAGATGTGATATAGAAACAACCTAAGTATCCATCAACAGATGAATGGATAAAGAAAATGTGGTACATATATACAATAGAATAGTACTCCACCACAAAAGGAATGAAATTCTGTCATTTGTAACAACATGGATGGGAGTGGAGATCATTATGCTACATGAAAATGAAAACTATTTTTAAAAAGTTCTATAAATTACAGGATAGTTGAAGTAGGTTACAGAATATACTGTGAATACATAAAATTCAGTCATTCTTACAAATGAGCCAAAAGTTTAAGTTTTAAATAAAAACAGGACTTACTATTATATAAAATGAAGCAGTTAGGTCTAAATTTGACAATATATCTTAGGAGAGTTTCTGGGAAGGTGGCAGAACAGTAAGCAACAGAGTAAACAGCCTCTCTGGGAGAAACCGTCCAGATGCTGGAATATAGATAGTATCATGGGGAAGATAAGAAGGAAGGAAGTGTGTCCCCTGGACTCAGGAAGAATCTAAAATGAGAATTAAAGCCCACAAAGAGTTAAAAAGAAAAATCTAAAAGAAGAAGGCAATAGCTGGTGGTAACTTAACCACCAACCAGACCCACTGTGAGAGGAGCTGTTGGAACCTGGGGACACGCAGTCATGGTGACTGCTGGCAAACCCAGAGTCCTCTGCAAAGAGATGTGGTGGTACAGGGGAGTGGTAGATGCAGAGGACTAAGCTGGCTGGTGGTGAGTGCAGATGGCTCAGTGATTCTGTGGGTGAGAGCAATTGGCTAGGAGCCATTTTGGAGTTGGACTGGATAAGCTGGAAGCTCCCTTCAGGAGCTCCTAGCTGGGACCAGACTGGTGGAAATTGCTCATACTGAGCCCTGCCCCTATGCACACTACACTGGCCACAGTGGGGGCTCCCTGCTGGTAACCAGCTCAGTCCAGAGGTGGCAGCTGGCCCTGCTCCCACACATACTCTGGTAGCCATCACCAGCTTGAAGGTGGCAGTCAGCCCCATTCCCAAGCACACTCCACCAGCCATGGGTGAGCCAAATAGGTGGGGAAAAGCAGCAGATAGCCCTGCACCAGCACACAATGGACACCATCAAATACCCATAGTCAGCACTGGCTAGAAGAACCAAGCAATCTCACATCAGAGAAATTGTAGTCAATGCAAGACGTGCCCGGGACCCCACTGCTCATTTGTCCAGAAGAACCTAGGAACACATCAAAATGAAGAAGCCAAAAGTAGACTCAGGCCTCCAACTCAAGCAGAGCTGGCCCAAGAGATGTAAACATGGAAGAGATCAGGAGTCACACACCTGAAATTTCTGAAGTAATGGCAACTGAAATAAAGAAATAACTTCATGAGGCTATAAAAGATATTAGAACAGAAATATCTCAGGTAAGAGAAGAAATGAGAAACAATAAAAGAATTGCTTAGTGCCTCTAAAGAAGACATAGATAAAAAAAAATACAGGAGCATAAAAAATAAGGGAAACCTTCAATGAACAATATAAAAAGATTTATAATACATGAAACATATTCAAAGAGATATCCAGGAAATTAAAAACTCCATTGAAAGCTGACAAAACTGCTTGAAAGAAATGGAAGATAGACTTTCAAACCTTGAAGACAGGTTTGCAGCTTGCAATCATGAAAAGGAAAGATCTCTTAAAAATAACAAAGAACCAGGAAGTAACAATTCAATGGCTCCAAGACAACTCAAAGAAACACAACTTAAGAATAATAGGTATGAGTGACAAATCAGGGTCAGCACAAATGGCATTAAAAGTCTCTTTACAGAAATAATATCAGAAAACTTCCCAAGCATGGGAGAAAGAAGTGACATTCAGATAAGTGAGGCATGTAGAACCCCAAATAGCCACATACAAAATAAATGTACACCCAGACATACAATAAAGATCCAAGAAATTCAACACAAGAACAGAATATTAAAAGCAATTAGAGAAAAAAAAACATCACCTATAAAGGAAAATCCGTCAGAATCACAACAGACTTCTTAACACAAACCGTCAAGTCAGGAAGAGCTTGGAGTAAAGTGTTAAGTCCTGAAAGAAAACAACTTCCAACCCAGATTAATGTACCCTGTAAGACTATCTTTCAAAATTAATGAAGAAACAAGATACTTCCATGACAAAGAACAATTGAAGGAATGCATGACCACTAAATCAACCTTATGAAGAATACTGAAGGGCATTCTAGAGAGAGATAAAAAAGAATTCAGTTCCAGGAACAATGGCAGAGGGGGTCACTGATGAGGCAGACAAAGAAATGGAGGGGAAAAGTAGGCAAACGATGACAGGAAAATAGAATGGTAGAGATGAGGCAGAGCATGTTGGCTAGAACCACTAAAATAGATGGCCTCAATTCACTGATAAAGAGAAACACAGGCAGAGTGAATCAGGAGAAAGTATCCCTCAGTATGATTTATACAAGAAACACACTTCATTCGAAAGGGGATTCATAGACTGAAAGTCAATGGAGAGAGAACAGTGCTCTATTCAACAGGGAACAAGAAAAAAGTGGGGTAGCTTGCCTATCAGCGCAGAGTTGATAAGGAAGACATGGCATTTCTATATAATGGAAAGCTACTTAGCTATAAAGAAAGATAACCTCAAGGCTCTTGTAGGTAAATGGATACAACTTGAGATCATGCTCATGGATGAAATGGTTCCAGAATCACATGGGTGAATATCATATTCTCTCCCTAGTATAAAATACTAGAGTCAGTGGATCCAAATTGCACAATAGATATTGTGAAAGTGAAAGGGAAACAAATGTCTAAAAAGGGAAGGCAGTAGCCATTGTTAATCTATTCCCATGATTTGAAACCCATATTGTTTTAATTGTTTTTTTAGTTTGGTTTTGTTGTGTTTTGATTTGTCTAATTTTATTATATTATATTTGATGACATGGATAGCTATTTCAAAGATAGCAAAATACATTATGGTAGCCATCATAGATTTCCTACTATCTTGTTTTTTGAAGCCCTGTATTGCTTTCATTGTTCTGTTTTTGTTGATTTTATTCTATTTTGTTGTGTTTGATTGTGTCATGTCTGATGATACAGGCAACTACTTTGAAGATAACAAGATGCATTATGGTAGCCACTGTTGTATTTTTATTGTTTTGTTTTGAAGTACTGTACTGCTTCCATTGTTATGTTTTTGTTGGTTTTATTCTGTACTATTTTGTTGGATTTTATTATGCCTGATGGTATGGGCAATTCTTTTGAAGATAACAAGAGGCATTATGGTAGCCATTATTGATTTCTTTGCATTTTATTTTGAAGTCATGTACCATGTTCA